TCTTAATATTTATATATGTTGACTAATTGTAAAAGGGCTGAATTGCCCTATTGCTTACATGGCAAATAAACTAATAAAAAAGCTGAAATAACAGGCTGTAACAACAAACTGAAATAACTACCAACTAACACTGACACAACTAACAAAAAACATATGCTATGCTGTCATACGAACACAGTGGGGACCACAGCAGTGGGGTCCACATCAGTGTTTCTACAAAAATATTGTATACTATATATGTGTTTCAGTCCCCACAGCATGTGCCTAATACATTTTTTCTTGGCGTTTGGGCGAGGCGCTCCTTGAAAAGCGCCTAGTCGCCTAGGCGTCGCCTTGACAACTATGATTTCTATGTGCCCGGTCTGAAGCCTGAGCCTGAAGCAGTGTAAAATGCTAACTCGGGCCAACCCGAGTTGCACCTGTAATTTCGAGGGCACCTCACTTGGGGGCACTTCTCTAGCCATGCTTTTTAAAACATTTATGTGAGGTTTGGTTAAATTTCAACAATTTTGACTCCTTGGTTAAAGCTAGCTGCATAAGCAATAATTAAATTCTAAGCAACTGAGTAAATCCCTACATGATATTGTAAAACATTAAAGCAATTAACAAAGATATGAAGCATTGGGATTGATGTACTCAACCAGCAGCATATCTAGGCATTTGGTTACACATAAAATAAAACCGAAAATCATGCTATGCATCCAAGGAAATCTTGGAGTAGCTCTAGTGGTTACAAAATCCAGGAGAGATTATATGGTGATGTACAATGACAACTAACTGACAGCATTTGTGGGACAGCCAAGTGGTGCAGGTAAGAACACTCCATGTAAAGCAAAGGGAAGATCAACAAGGATGTCAATCAAGGTAGTAAGAAAAGGAATAAAGGCATATGTGAAGATAATATGAACATCAATGTTGAGTGTTGACTTTGGTCAAACTTACAACTGAATTTGCAAAACAAGTCAGATGGTGGACCAATAAAGCTGAGGAAACTTTTGGGTGCTTGTTAAAAGTTAAAGTCATCCATGAAACATGCATGGGCCAGAGGGTGGGGGTGGAGAAAGGAATCACTATGAAGATTGCATAACCTCTTTCATAAAGTAGAGCTGGTTTCATCTTGAAACAAAGAAAACACAATGAACCCCACACTCATCTATTCACAATTTTTTTTTTTTTTGCAAAATTAGCTTATAAAAGAAACAAAAGTTATTCCCATGAAGATCTTGATACCTGAGTAAGTTCAGCATCTTTTCCAGTTTTCTTATATTTCATGCAACACTCATAAGCCTCAAGTAATTCACGCCCGTAAGCCTGCATTCATAAAAAGTTTCGTAAGGGCCAAACTTTAATTAGAAATATTATACACTAAATATACTATTACTTATAAAAAATGATAAAAAAGCATGCATTCTTTGGTCAATAATAAAAAAGCATGTATTTCATTGAATATTTGAAGATTCCATAAGCAAAAGAGTAGTTGGGTTTATTTTAAATACATAGATTATGACTATTATCTTCTCTCATTTAGAGGGAAACGTTCACCAAAGATTGTACACTGATATAAAGGTTGTAAGGTGCTAGCATGCAACAAGGAAGGAGCGTTACACCTTTGAAATGCAATAAGACAAGTTGGGACCCAATAACACCTTATGCATTGTCTGCCAGAAAATTCTAACTCACCCAAAAATGGTTTTCTTTAAATACTTGAAATAATCCATAAGAAAAATGGGCAATTAAAATTCACAAGTTATGATTATGGGTCTCCTTTTATCTAAAAATCTCCTGAAGGAAAACATAAATCGACGAGTTGGCGCCTACAACATGGGATACAAGAATAGTTCTGGCAGTATACACATCTTACTTCACTAGAAAAAACACAATGTTAGCACAAGGCAAACTTTTATAAAGTAACCAAGACAAGAGTGGCTATTATATTATCAGGAAAAGGTGAACTACCTGAATGAAGGCTGTTTCTTTCATGGTGGTCCCCCCCTTGGTAACCCCATCCTCAACAATTTCATGCAATGGCTCCAACACCTTTAGCATTGCCTCAATGTTATGCTCACCAAAATACAAACGGCTAGCTTCTTCTAGTGCCTCATGCCATGTTTCATGCCACAGTATTGCAACCCGGATCAATTCCTTTGAGACAAGTTGTGCCTGCAAAAAATAAAATTGCAGTCTGACAAATTTTCTCTAATATTTACAAAAAAGAACACATTATTTATTTGATACTCACCTGATCCACAAGTGTTCCACTGTGCTGCCGAACTTTGTCAACCACTTCTTGAGCTGCAGCTCTGCGCAAATTGCTTATTGACTTGCATGCCACAAGAAGAGGATACATAAGAGCCTATGAACAAAGACAGACACAAACATAAGAAGGGGAACTGAAGGCAATCAAGACAGCCAATAACTTTTGATATTTTTTTGGTGGGGGGTGGGGGAGGGTATATTAGTAGACTTGTGGATTTTTGTTTCTCTATGTTTTGGAATTCCATTTACTTCGGTCAATATGTGTCATAATAGTGCCCTTTTTGGGTTTATTTAGTTAATTTTTGGTATCAAAGGCTCTAATAGAGATTGGGAGCAGAGTAGGAAGTTTTAAGAGAATATTAGCCACTTTTATAAAGAGTTGGGAATAGTAATTCGTGAATAGTGTTTTCTCTGACAAACAAGGGGGTTTTCTTCATTCTTGCGTATGGCTAACATATTGCCCTTCTTCATTCCCTCTCTTTACATTCATTGTTGAATATCTTTATCTTGATACCCGACTCTACCCACAGACAAGAAGAGGACTTTGTGTTCCCCAGTTGCAAGAAGAAAAACAGAGATTGAAGAGAAAAGAAGAAAAGAGAACAAGAAAGGATGGGCTAAGACAACGGAAAAAAAAGTAAGAATAGGGAGAGCTTGCCCTTTGGAGCCTTCAAATCAAACATGACAGTCATTCCCAGATAATACAAGGAAGAAATCTTAAGCAGATTGGCAAGGGAAACAACCTTTTCTTCTTTATTCTTAAAAGCAACAACTGATGATTAACTTTATTTTATTTTATTTTTTGATCAGCAAAGAAGAATTAATTTTATTAATCAGTGAAAAGCCAGAGCCAAATTACAATACAGCCAACATTCCAACAAAGCCAAAAAACTACAGTCGTGCCCAAAACAGCTGCTGCCTATGGACCCCCTGCTTAGCTAACAAATCAGCCATTCCATTTGCAGTCCTTCTGATCCAAGTGAATGAAGCATTGAGTTCCCTTGCCAGACTTTCTATCTCTCTCAGTATGTCTATATATCAAGGGACCATTACACCTTCTAGTAGTCCAAGAGATAACCAGTTTTGGATCCCCTTCTACCTCCAAATTTTGAAAGTTTGCTTGCTTAGTGAGTTTTAGACCTTGTAACAGCGCTAGCAGCTCAGCCTTATTGAATCTCCTACCCATAGAAGACCCGAGTACATTGCCAATACTTTCTGTGAACAATCTCTAAATACACCCCCTATTGCCTGCCAGTCCCAGGTTTCCTAAAGAGCTCCCATCGAAGTTCAGCTTTGTTTTATTTATTTATTTATTTTTGAAAGGTAAAGTAATAAATTTATTGAATCAGAAAGAACTCAGTGCAATAGAAGAGCAAGCCACAAGTAGCTGCTCAGAATACAGGACATGTTACAGATCCCAAATGGAAATAGACCTAACTAATTCAGGAACATTCAACTCTTTAAAATCAGGTGTAACTGACACCCAAGAAATCAGCTTGCTGACCGCCTGCTGCATTATCTCCTCCGTGCTCTTAGCTTTGTTGCTGAAGATTCTTCTATTCCTTTCAGACCAAACTACCCACATCACTGCTGCAGGAATAGTTCTCCAAACTAAACTTCCTTTTTTCTTCAAACCTTGGAGATTCCAGCAAAGCAGCAGGTCTTTCACTGAATTTGGCATGACCCAATTAAGACCAGCCTCACCTATGAAATGGTACCAGACTTTCGAAGAGATAGGACAATGTAAACACAGATGATCTGTGGACTTAGACAACAAGCCACACAACCCACACATCAGAGAAGGGAGCTGAATGCCCCTTCTGTCCAGGTTGAGTCTTGAGAGACATTTGTTCAGCACCAAAGTCCAAACAAGGAATATAGACTTCGACGGAGCACAAGACTTCCATACTTGCTGGTAGGGGAACTCAGTAACCCCCATACTACTAAGCTTCAAAGTAAGGGATTTGACTGAGAAACAGCCATCCTTACTCCAGGACCAGCTCCATTCATCTTCACCTGCAATGTCTATCGTCTGCTCCTGTAAAATCTGCAGAAGCTGCATCACACCTTCTATTTCCCAATCAAATAATTCTCTTCTGAACTGAGGGTTCCAGATCATTGAGTTGTTAGAAATCACATAAGACTGCCACTGATATTTCTTGATTAACTATACATTGGAACAGAAGGGGAAACACCTTAGCTAAAGGTCTGTCCATGCGCCAGGGATCTTTCCAGAATTTCAGCCTATTTCCACTTCCCACCTTAAACCTCACTCCCTCGTACATCACAGGAAGAGATTTTAGAATCCCTTTCCAAATCGAACAACCCCATGTTGTGTATGGATCCTGAGACTTATAGTTACCCCAATCCACACCAAATTTTGTTGCAATTAGGGACCTCCACCAAATTTCCAACACCATTTACTCAATAAAGCCAAATTAACCACCTTTAAACTTCTAAGACCTAATCCACCCTCTGCCTTAGGAAGACAAACATGATCCCAATTCACAAGGTACATCTTCTTCCCTTCTTCCCACCCTCTCCAGAGAAAATCTCTCTGCATTTTCTCAAGTTTCTTTGCAATTTTAGATGGCATAGGAAACATGGACATGAAATAGGTAGGGAGGTTGGCAAGGGTACTCTTGATAAGGATCACTCTCCCTCCTATAGACAGATATTTTGCCTTCCAGGAGGCCAATTTTTTCTCCTCTCTCAATTACTGGATCCCATAAGCCAGAAGAATAACATTTGGCACCAAGTGGGAGGCCAAGGTATTTACCCGCAGATAATCCACTTGGCAGGCCATCAACCTAGCAAAAGAATCAAGATTAGGAACGGGACCCACTGGGATTATCTTACTTTTATGAAGATTAACTTTTAGGCCTGATACAACTACGAATCAGCAAAGAATACCAAGTAGAACATCCACATGGTCAGAAGAAGTATCAAGGAAACAGAGAGTATCGTCAGCAAACTGCAATAGATTGACTTTTTCCGCTTCTGGTGCAATTGCAAAACCATCCCACAAGCCATTAGCTGCTGCCTTTAAGGAGAATTGGGTCAGGATTTCTGATATACAGATAAAGAGCAGAGGAGAGAGTGGGTCACCCTGTCTAAGACGCCTCAAACTATCAAAAAACCCCACTGACTGGCCAATGATCAGCACAGAGAATTTGGGAGAAGAAACACATACTTTTATCCAATTTCTCCATTTCTGCCAAAATTCATTTTCTGAAGTACCTGTTCCAGATACCTCCAGTTTACATGGTCATATGCTTTTTCTATATCCAGCTTTACAACCAGTCCCGGGGAACCCTCCCTTAATCTTGAGTCAATAAGCTCATTTGCAATCAAGACAGAATCGAGCATTTGTTTCTCCGGAACAAAGGCAAACTGATTTTTAGAAATAACACTACTTAGCACTAGTTTCATTCTCACTGCTAACACCTTTCTGAGAATCTTGTAGAAGCTGTTTAAAAGGCTGATGGGCCTAAAGTCCCTGATATTTGTGGCCCCTTCCACTTTAGGGATCAAGGAGATGAAGGTAGCATTAAAACTTCTGTGTAAAGATGCATTTCTGTGAAAGTCATGGAACACCTTTAACAGATCAGACTTAATGAAATGCCAACATTTAATATAAAACTAGTTAGGCAAACCATCCGGCCCAGGAGATTTGTCCCCTTCTAGACTCCAGATTGCTGATTTGATTTCTTCTTCTGAAAAAGGTCTCTCAAGGAACATCTTCTGATCTGAACTCAGCTTCTTGAAGGGTAATTCTAGTGGAAAAGGTCTCTTATCCCATTTTTCTTTATATAGATTTTTGTAGAAAGAGGTAGCTACTGATTTGATTTCAGCCACTGATTCCCCTACTTTATCCTCCCATTCCAGCTTTCTGATTGAAGACACTCTCATACGAGCATTTTCCATTTTATGAAAGAAATGAGAGTTTCTATCACCTAGACTTAGCCAGGTTACCTTAGCTCTCTGTCTCCATTTAATCTCTTCTTTCACAGTCACCTTATCAAATTTAGTTTTGGACTGAATTCTCCTCATCCTCAACTCTTCCGATATTGGACCTCCTTCTTCTTCCTTATCTATTTCTGAAATTGTTTTCAAGTAATTATTTTTCTCAGCTTCAAAATCTGAACCTTTTTCTGCCTTCCAATTCTTGACCCTTTCCTTAACTGCTCCCAACTTCTTCGCAAGGATAAAAGAGCTAGTCCCCTCCACCCGGAGATCATTCCACACTGATTTCAACAGAGATAAAAAACCATCTTCTTCAAACCAGGAGTTGTCAAATTTGAAAGGAGTCTTTACCTTTTCCCTATTCCCACAAACAAGCTGAATTGGAGTATGATCTGAAACTGGTCTAGGGAGGGCCAGCTGTTTAAAATCTGGGTAGATTTCCTCCCAATTTGAGGAAAGAAGAAATCTGTCCAGCCTTAACGGAAGATTCAGCAGCTCAAAATTATTAATAAATTCAGCAAACAAGCTCATCTCCCTTGATTCAGCAAACAAGCTCATCTCCCTTGATCTTCTATTTCCTGAATTCCTTTCCTCTGAAGATAGGGTGGCATTGAAATCACCACCTATTACCCACGGGCACAATAAAGAACCTCTCATGTCAGCCAATTCTGCCCAGAAATTTGTGTGCAACCCAGCAACTGAAGGTCCATAGACATTAACTATCTGAAATTGCTTTCCATCCACAGATTCCAGAATCACTGAAATTGAAAATTGCCCAACTTTGAAGGAAACCAGCTTACAGATCAGAGGATTCCAGAGAGTCAATAAGCCCCCCGCAGTACCCCTAGCTGCTTTTGCCCTCCATCTAACTTGGCCCTCCCCCCAAACACTCCTCACTACTTCTGCCTCCGCCACTTCAAATTTAGTTTCTTGCAGTAACACTATTTGTGACTTTGATCTTTTAATTGCATCACTCACCAGCAATCTTCTTCTTCCCGACCCTAGACCCCTTACATTCCAAGACAGAATTTTTAAATCCATAAAAAACAGGTGCAAATACAGAAATCCACTGCTCCTCCCTGCAACTACTTATGGCTCCTCGAAGATACTCCACTATTCCCCGCCTTATCATTTAGCCCCAAAGTCAATCTCAGTAATTCTCTGTTTCTTTTTGACTGCACCCCCCTCTTTTCCTAGCCGCCAGTTTACCTCTTCCAGCCATAATCCATTGCTCCACTTCTTCTAGATATTTTACTGTCTCCGATTGCATACCTTCCAAAGAGATCCCTAGAAATTTGCCCAATCCCAAGAGCTTTGGTGTAACCCAGGAGTAAGATGATGACAGAGCTTCCTCCGGCTTTCCTATTTTATTTGGTTGCTGAAAAGTTGGTAACCCTCCCACCCTTGAACTTTCAATAGAAGCAATAGTTTCCCTTTCAATCGCATCTGGACACAAAGGGATAAGTCTCTTATCTCCGTCTTCTGAGTTCACCACAACCGCAACCAGCGTCACTTCCATTATCTCTTCATTCAGCCTCGATAGTGCAAGGTCTTGACTCTTAGTCTGAATCATCGAAGACCCTTGGAGGGTTGGCAGCAGTTCCCCTTAAGGAAGAAAAGCATTGACATCATCCCCCACACTTCTACTCTCCATCTCAGTTTGGCGGTCAGCAGGGTCTTCTGAGAAAGACTGGAAGCCCCAATCAAGCACAGGACCAAGGTTGAACCGGATAGAATCTGACCGAGCAGGTAAAGGACTAGGGGGATCAGGGCTGATCTCCCGAAGTGTTCTTCACTCTCATTTGGGTCGGATGGGTATTCAGGTGGACCACCTGGGTTCTCTTTTCACCTACCTGCATCCCAACCTCTGCATCCGTCTGATCTTTCTCCCCTAAAGTTATCCCTGAATCCTCACTTACCACCTGTCGGCCCGAAGATTCCCCCTGTAATTTTGTCAGACATATTTTGATTAGCTCTTTCAGCTTCTTTACATCTATCCCTCCTTTTCCCCCATAGTTTAAGATTTGAAAGTTTTCCTCGGCCTTCGTTCCCTCTTCTACATCCTGGCTGTCCAAATGCAAAGTGATTGGATGGCCCTCCTCACCACTGTTGATTGGATGGTCCTCATTACCGCCAATCTCAAGGTTAGGAACAGCTCCCACCAAAACCCGTGGAGTTCGCTGGAATTGATAGGACTAGTCTTTGCTACCCACTTGACTGGTACAGTTCTCTCCTTCCAGCACCAGCGTCCTTGAGATTTCTGACCCAGGATCATCCCTATGGTAGGATTTGTCTTTTCCCGGATAATCTTTTCTCCATCTTCTAGCTGAAGGCAATCCGGCCAGATTCTTACTGTGTATAGAACTTCACCCGCCGCAATTTCCACCTTCTCCGGGATGAGGCTCCCACCACGCACTTGCATATGGACCCACTCGCAAGTAGCCAACTCTGCCGGCGCATCATCAGTTGCAATGAAACGCTCACACAGGTCCCCAATGGAATGGATCACATTTGGGCACCACAAAAGTAGCGGTAAGCCGTAGACCCTGATCCAGATCGAATCAGCGCCATCTCTTCCATCTCCGATTCTGGATAGAAACAACCTGCACTTGCTCTCCACCAATCCAAGAGCATGGATTTCTTCCCATTCGCCAAGGCTCATTGTTGAGAACCCAAGCAGCTTCTTCCCTTGATGGAAGAATGAAGAGGAAGAGTCCGTCTGCCAACTTCTTCACCCTAACTCCCCCAACTCCTCTCCAAGTTTTGTTAGCCCACCTCTCTACTTCTGAGATTTCTTCCGCCCATTTGAATCGTCCTACTAAACAGTCCCGCAAGAAACGCCTCCTAGCTTCCACTCCTCCTGCCTCCGTGGAAATAATTTGGTTGCCATTGAAATGAAGCAACTTCTCCTGGCCAAACTCCAGCCAAACCCTGCGGCTACAACTTTCCTGTAAGAAAAGTTAGCCCTTGTTCTTGCATCTTCCCTACCCCTATTATACCAGTTTCCCACCCCCCATCTCTTTCCCCCTTCTCTAGAACTACAAACTTTACCCCTTTGGTCCATCTGTCAGTGCTTTTGCCAAAGTCGAGATGGAACACCTATCTTTCGCAAAGATAATCACCGGAAGCAAGGAAGTACACCACCGTCGCCTACCTTCGCCGATAGCAACTGCCATTGCCGCTATGAACACCACTATCATCGTTGCTGTGCATCCCACTTTCTACCCTCGCCGCTATGTGAAACATGAAGGTTCACCATCATCGATGCCGACAACTGCCATCGCCGGTGAACTGTATACCTCTGTGAGAAGCAGACTGAGATCCACACTCAGAAGCGTCGAAAAATTTTCTTCTGTGCTCCTTCTTCTTCATAGAGGTATACACCATTATCATCTCAATTGCTTTTGTGGTGTTCATCACCAAAAATCAGCAAATGAATTAATTTCAACTAGATTCTCAAAATTTATGGAGAACAGAAAGCTCTCAAAGTAGAATATCAGGGGTATATTTGTGATTTTGTCCTTTGGGTTATAGTCTGGTCTGGTTCCAAGTACGGGTTAAATAATGTAATCATTAACTAGTAGAGTCTAGATGTTAATTGGGTGAGATCTAATCTAGTCATAGGTTAAATATCATAATCATTATTTTCTTGGTAATGAGTTAAATACGGTGATCTTCCTGTCTCTAATTGTATTCTTTGAAAGAAAGTGTACAAGATTTATACACAAAGACAACACCTCAACCAAAAAGGAAAAAACCAAAGCTCCAAAAATCAAAAGATACTAACAAATTAGTGCAATTTGACCAAAAATCAAATAATACAATTTCCATTAGTGCAGGACTAAAATCAGGGAAACTGTTTCAAGACTAAAATGGAAGATAGAGAACAATTAGTGTAAACATAATGGTGCTGAAATAGGATTTCAAGACCAAAACGGAAAATAGAGAATGTTTTGCTGTTTTAGTAATGAATAACAAAGAATACAATTAGAGACAAGAAGATCACCGTATTTAACTCGTTACCAAGAAAATAATGATTATGATATTTAACCTATGACTAGATTAGATCTCACCCAATTAACATCTAGACTCTACTAATCAATGATTACATTATTTAACCCGTACTTGGAACCAGACCAGACTATAACCCAAAGGACAAAATCACAAATATACCCCTGATATTCTACTTTGAGAGCTTTCTGTTCTCCATAAACTTTGAGAATCTAGTTGAAATTAATTCATTTGCTGATTTCTATTGAAGTGCCTAGAGAGGGCCTGGGGTTTTGGGCCCCAAAGATGCCTGGAATTAACTTGTTTGCTGGTTGCTTTCAGTCCCTGCATCAATAGGGGTGGATCATTTCTAACCTGGCCAGGCCCACCATGTGTGTGTGTGTGTGTATGCTATTCTATATTGTTAGAAATTATATAGCTGGCAGAACAGAATATGCAGTATTGATTTTATGACATTATGTAGGAGGTAAAATTGTAATTACATATTCTTTTATATCTTTAATAAAAGGACAGCATAGAGGAGTAATGGTTCTCTCAATCTCCCTCTGCATGAACCCTATTTCTCTCATTTTCATTGTTCTTCTTCTCTCTACTTCTACCTTCAATTCCCTTTATTCCAGATCTGATTTTCTCTTGTTTTCTTTATTTATAAAGTCTATTTCAGGCTAAATACATATACTTTATAAATTATAACATTATATTTTATAAAAGTATAATAAAAAATATTATGCATTTAATATAATCTATTTAAAGTTGTAGACCCAGAAACATGGGCCCAGGTTTATATTTCAGGCCTGGGCCCAGCTTGGCCCATGATCACCACCCCTACCTATGAACTTGATCGAAACTATCAAAGTATTCCAAAGGATAATCCTATGAGAAACTAGATAAGGAATCCAAAGGAAACCATTTAAAGCAAACCTGTGGATGTGCTCGTCCAATGCGCACCAAAAGTGATTGTATCAATTCCCTCACAGCATGGTTATTTGAGTGTATCCTTGCAATTATTTGAGGTAAAACAACAAGCCATGTGTCAATATTAACATGTGCAAAGCCTTTTTGCAATGCCATTTGAACTTCAGAAGTTGCTCCATGGTTGAACCATAATGTGAGAAGTCGTAGAATATCCTATATAAATCAAACAAAACATACAAAACTGTAAGAAATGACACACATTAGAACATCCAATAAATGTGTCTAGAAAATGGAACATGAAAAATGAGACTGATGTAATGGAGAAGACATATACACCAAAATGCCGCTGTTCCCAACTTTCCATGCCACACACTCCATTATCTAGGATAAATCCTTTGACACACACACACACATGTAGGCATGCATGTTTATTTATTGGGCACACACATACAGATACAGAGACACAGGATGCCATTTTGAACCATTTGGCACCCCGTATTTGCACATAATCCACTTTTAACATCCAAACTGACACCTTGTATGGAGTATTAATTGGAGTTTTTTATTGGAAATAGTTCAACTTCATTAATGATTACAATCAGTGATTGCACATCTGCTACCTAGTCACTTCCCCTAATGGTTACAATCAGTGATTAGACATTTGTCCCATAAATTGCTGACCCTATTTATCACTTGTTTGGCCATTGCATCGTCTAGTGTTTTAAAAGTTAAACATGCAACAAAAGCACAAGGGCTTCCAAACACCCCAAGTGCAAGGTGCAAGTCAAAACACATAACCAAACAAATCAAGGAGCAATTTTTGAAAAAAAAAGATAAAATAAAATAAAAACTTGATAAAGAATAATGTGAACTGGTCCTCAAATTCCCATAAGGGATAAAGGCCAACTAGAAACCGACCCTCAAATTCTCACAAGGGAATTAGATAAGGATGGCCATCCCTCCCTTTTTTGTTACTAATAGAAATCCCATATTTCATCTTTCAAGAAAATTGGATAAGGATGACTTCTGTAATATAAGAGCAAGACTCCCAGGCTTGTTCTTAGCTTACTGAGCCTAAATGCAAGGAAGCCTAGTGAGCAAGCCAACAGAGTGAATGGTGTTAGTGAGCATAGTGAAACACTGACATAGGTGCAAGTGTAAGTGTGTAACAATCTAATCAAGTGAGTGCAGCTTGTGGAGCTCCTAACTTGTTTTTCTTTCACTTTATCTTGGTTGCATCACTTTATCTAGGACCTCAAGCTTAAGGCAAATTGCCAAAGTGCCTCTTGCCTTCTTCAAGCATTCATCAGTTGAAGGCTATGAAACTCCTTTCAACTTGAATGTGTTTCACACTTTTTCTGAGATGGATCACTTCAGGAAGCTAGTGCTTCACGTTTTAGGCATGTCTTGTGTTCTTGTTAAAATGTTCATATACCATTACTAGTGTATAGGGCTATAAGCTACAACCGTTCAACCCCTAATATAGGGTGTTGAGCCCAGGGTAACTTTTCATTACAACACTGCACAGAAGAAATTCTCCCTCACAGTCCCTTGTTTGGCTAAGGTATCAGCTAGTCCATTAGCTGACCTTCTTGTCCACTTGAAACAAGCACCAATCTCCCTTATTATGCCAAGGATTTACATGATCAACTGTTTATGCGTCTAGACTCCGAAATAACCTGACTGCAACCATACAATTAGCAATTTAGGAGTCTCCTATCTCAATTTTGTGACCCCAACTGTTTGGTATATCTTACACCTTGAAGCAAAGTCATCACTTCTTCTCTCAACAAGTATCCCACTCCTATTGGCCCTGAAAACATAGCAAAAATTCTGCCATCTCCATTTCAGAAAACTCCACCTATACCCGAAGGGCCTGGATTACCTCTAGAGTTCCCATCAAAGTTCAACTTCATCCTTTGTTGTGTTGGTGGGGACCAAAGTTCCTGTACAATGGGTTTTAGGGAAGTGGTAGCTGCCACCTCTCCCCAATTCCTGTAGATGTCCTCAATTAAGAAGTCCCTTTGTGAAAATTTGAGAGAAAAAAATAAATTGACTGTATTGTCTTGGAAGGAGCATATACACAACTTTATATAGAATTACAGAGCTAATTTACAGGGTGATAAAATAGGAAACTAACTTTTCCTAAAAACTAATTTCTATATCAGTGGGATTCTCCAATTAAATTCCCATGATTCTAGGAAATTAAGTTTCCTAAACTGATGGACCTAAAATTATGGAGAATCAATCAGAGAATCAATATTCTACTTTCCAACACCCTTGAACGATTCAATTGATTTCAACTAGTGAATAGTCATTATGGTTATTCTTTTTCACAGTTTCCTCCTAGGATTTCTTCACTCATTTAAAGATCCTATTGTTTCTTTCTTACCAGATTGACCAAAGAATAGTTGCTCTTGTGGCTCTCCACATAATTCTTCCATGCCCCTTTGGTTGCATGCAAAAATTTGGGTCAAAGAGGCTCACCACATCCAGGAGAGAAGAGAACCAAGACCAAATAAAGAACACGAAAGGACAGGAGATTAATAGGTGTGTGATTGTCTCACTAGAACCCAAGCAGAGGCTCCGAACATTGTGTGCAAGGCAAATATTTGGACTTTTTCTTTGCAACACATCCAAACTATTGATTTACGTCTATGCCTAGGTGTTTCTAAAACACTTGTAGTAGCTAAACTTTTTTTTTTTTTGACTTTCAAACTCACGAAAAGGTAGTTCCCACTTCCCTAGCCAAATATTAATCAGTTTTGCCATGATCCTTGACTAATGTTTAACCATCCCGTCACCACCCAAGAATTCCCTCCAACACATGGCTGAATGGTTTGAATAAATGGTTTAATCCATGATTTATCTATCATGAATAAATGCATCTCAATTCTGTAGATCAAATTTGGAAGAGCACTCTTCAATATTAAAGAGAGGACTTTATTTAGCTATTATCTTGTAAGGAGGAATCCCTACAAATCTGATTGGTTTGAGTTCTCCCCATTCCATAGAACTCTTTAAATACTTCCAACAATTCATAAAATTCATGCTAAAAAACCAAAAAAAAAAAAAAAAACTGAGACTGGGGGATCCGGGATTTTGACCTATCAAGTTTGGGCAATTTGATACCCTTTTCTAAGAATCTGGAAGAGGGTAAAAGGGCAGCCCAAATGCCAATGCAAGGTGTCTGGGGAGGGACAAATGTGCGTAGTCTTACCCCTGCACATACAGAGAGGCTGTTCCAAGATTTAAACCTTGGCCACCAAAGTTGCAATGGAGCAAATCCAACCGTTGCTATTGTAAATGGCGTTGAAATGTTCCACAGATATTTGCTCAATCTCTTCTTCATTCTCAAAGACCTTTTCATTTATTACCATCTTCTCCTTTTAATATCAAATCTAATTCATCCTTCAACTCTCTTGTCTTTCTACATTCTTATTATGATAATTTGTCCTGTCTCTTCTTTCCTTTCCATTCCCTCTATTTTCATTTCTCACAAAGCTTTTTCCTCCTATACTCTCCCCCAAATCTCTTAGTTCCACTACTTTAGCCTTCCTTTCAAGATTTACATTTTTTTTTGTAGAACCTATGTCCTTTCTGCCTTCCTTCTACTCTTATCTTCCTCCCACCATCTCTTGACACTACTAACAAAGGAATGATGTTTTAACCACATTTTCTCAAACCTAAAAGGTGACAGCCCATATAGCAATTTTTCTTCAGCCAGATGGATTGGACAGTGATCCGAAATAGTTCTAGGCAAGACCTTACAAATCACCTGTGGCAAATGCTCTTCCCAATTAATTGTAAAACAGAATTTGTGCATCTTTAAGAAAAATGGGGTACTCTTTAAATTAGACCATATAAAAGAGGCCCCTAGCATGAGAAATTCCTTGAGCTCACAAGAATTTTTTAAGAGATTGAACTTCCTACTAGTAATGATGTGCTGGTTGGGATTAGTAGATTCATAAGCATACCTGGTAATATTAAATCCCCTGAAATACATCATGAATCCTCCCACAAGCCTTGAATATAAAAAAGCTGCTCCCAAACAAATCCATCCTTCTTGTTTTTAAACTTCTTATCAGCTCTCCAATGTTTTCAAGTACATCCTTGTCCCACATAATTAACCTACCTCCTGAGACTGCATAAAATGGTGGCAATGCCAAACCTAGACCATATACTTCCACTTGTGGTTTGATTCTTTTCCTTGTGCCATTCAAACCTATAATGTTCCAATCTCTAATGTTTAGAAAGTCCTCCCTCGTTGTTAATTCCATCCTTATCATAATTGTCAAGGCGACACCTAAGCAGGCACCTAGGCGACTTTTAGAGGTCGCCTTGCCTAACGCCAATATGGTTTTCATATTACCTATATGTATTGAATCATTTTTTTGAATGCCCATATATATTTATATCCTTTTATTGGTTGCTTTTATTTTATTAATATAACTTTTTTAGTAAGATAATTCTTGTTTTATTGGAACTATGAGACGAGAAGACCAACAACTGCAACTCAGAAGAGAAGACAGAAAAGACTGATGAGTGAGAAGAGAAGACAGAGAAGACCAACCAAGTCATCCGGGACCTCCAGGACGACTTCTTCTTTAAGTCGTCCTGTGCTCCTGTATTTTTTTTCTTACGCTTTTTAAGAAATATTGTTGGAAACAAAACAGGGGCTCCACCGCCTCCTCTTCCTTCTTCAAATGGTCCTATTACTCTTTTATTTTCTTAGTTTTTTTAAATACTTTTGGGAACAAAACTTAGGCTCCACTTCTTCAGCTTCTGCAACAGGGCTGCGCCTCAACTTTCTAAATTTTTTCCTGTATTTTTGCACTATTTAAATGATGTATTTGTGATGCCATTTTTATGTTTTTATATGAAATTTCTAGTTAGTTATTCATTTGAATAGTTTTATTGATAATAGATAGTATACTGGTATGTGGGTTAGTATAGCTTAGGAGAAGAAGGGATCTTTAGATTTTATGCTTTCAGATTCCATCGCCTAGGCGCCTGGGCACCCTGTGGTTGCCTAGGCAAGCCAAGGAGCCTTGAAAACTATGCTTTTGACCCAATTCTGTGTTCATCCTAGTATACACCTTTAAACTTTCTGGTGACTTTACCTCTGCCCGCATTTTCGCTCCAACTGTCACTGGATCTTTTGACTGATTCCCACTCTGATTTGCTCTGTTATAGCTCCTAGGACTTGGGTGACTCATTGTGGAGTTGACCATCCAAAGAAATAAGATGGACATTCTCCGACCAAACTCACATATCCCTGTTAAGCATCCGTTACAAGTAATAGAAAGGCAGGTTACTCTTTACATTGATGGCAATAATGTTTTAATGTACATTAAAAGGATACTAGCCAACTGTCGATACTCTTCATGCTTGTCTTGAAAATATCAACCTACATCACACTAAATCTTAATTATATGCTATGGTATAGCATGAGATCTTTAACAAATTGGCTTTTCTCAGACTTGATGTCTTGACCCTGCATTTTTCATGCTTGACAGCCCAAGATTTTACTTTCTTTTTTTGATAATTGAAGAACAATTTTATTAGCAAAATATGAAGATTGTTACAAGTATCCCGAGGAGAGGCATGAGGTGTGACCTCTCCTTATAGAGTGAAGTTTACACCAAGACACTAGAAGGATCAACATTACAAAACAGCCCAGAATAGATGTTTTCTATTGAATCCCTTGTTTGGCAAGATTATCAGCCAATGCATTTTCCAACCTGGCCACCTAATGTAAGTTAATATTCATGTTCCTTGTTAACCACCGAGTCCCGTTCTGCAAACCACCCCACAACAACTCTAGAGTCTCCTTCAATCAGTAAATTCTCCACACCAAGTTGATCTGCAATCTGAATACCTAGTATAGCTGCTAATAATTCAGCCTTATTAGAGTCTCCTAACTCCACTAATAATTCAGCTCAACATTTTACTATTATACCAAACAATGTCCACTATTACATATCCATTGATGCATATCAATATTTTATTTCGACTATATATGATGAATGGAATTAAATATAGCTGTTACAACCACCAGTAGACTAGAACCAGTAAATAAGTTCAATGGCAACTAGTAAAAGGAATCTATAGAAAATGTTCTGAAAGCTAAGAAAAAAACTCAATATGTTCTCTTAATCAAGACAATTCAAAGAATAATTAAACATTATACTAAATAGTTGGGATTAACGTTGAGTTGAGTTGAGCCAATTATTATTATCACATTGCAACCCTTTACAATAGAAGGTTATTTAATTCCATGAACTATAGCCCATAAATAAAGCATAATCATGAGCCATGCAGTATACAGCCTCCTCCAATAAAGTATACAAGTAATCGCTGAAACTTTTAGGTCTTTTAGGGAGGCAAAGATATACTATAAACAAGATGTGTACAACAGGCTATGTAACCCAATCAAGAGTGAACATGTCCTTCATCCTTACAAGTAACTCGTACAGCACACTCCTACGTTCAGTCTTGATTGGGTAATGTAACGTGCTATACATGCCATATTTGTAGCAGATCCAAAGTGCTTTTAGGGAGCAAGTAACTCATAGGAAAAATGTACAGCATATTCGTTCATTCAATTGCTGGCATCCTCAGTTCCAGTTAAGACAAATTGGACAGCCTCAGCCTAAGCGAAGTTACAAATTTGAACATGCTCCTAAACCAGGCAAAACAGATACCTGTAGGCTGTCATCCACTCCTTTAGCAGTGGCAGCACATGCTATAGAATGAAAGTATCCAGTAACAGCTGCTACAACATATTGTCCTGCAATAGCAGGGAATCCTCTTAAAGTATAGTGAGACATCACTGCTGTATTGAACAGTGCCCATGTGTGCCATGCCTTCGCCCAATCTTTTGCACACTGAGTGGCATTACTAAATGCCATAAGAATTTCTGAACATCAAGATATTCTATAATTAGAAAGAAATGCATGCGAAGGGAAAAAAAGAATCAAGACTAATGGAAACCAAAGTGTTGATTACCCTGTATAGAATCGTCATCTAGTCCAGGAGAAAGTGCCCACTGCCAAGTTCCAAGCTTTAGATAGACACGTGCAACCAGAGGAACACCTGGACTTGAAGCACTAATTAACCCATTTGCAGTTGCTGTTGGAATGTTTGCTGCATTAGAAAGTTCTACAGCAAGGTCCTGTGACAGGCAGATTGCGATGATGCACCAAATGTACATTGTCAATGAAAAACCAGAAAAAAAAAGTCAGCAGAAAGTGGAATTTTACATGTTTTAGAAGAGAAGAAATGCATTGCATACCTGCAACCTTGCAAAAGCTTCCTTTCTCTTAGAATCCTCCCCAAGAGACCACTGGTATTTCAAGTATGCCAACATGACTTGAGGCGGTCCATGGTAAGATGAATTTTGTGGACAAATTTCAGGGTCATACTGAACATTTAAACAAAATAATGAGAACTCAAGCAAAAAGTAGGAGCTAACACCAACATCTGAATGCAACATTTTGTGTGTAAGTAGATATGTCCTATACTCCTTACCTGTAGGAGTTTAACTAAAGTTGATCGAGCCTGACTTATCCGGCCGCTTTTTCGGCAAAGAGAAGAAAATTTTAACCAAGTTTCAATGTCCTCTGTAGGAGGGAGCACAAGTGCTCGAACTACTAAAAGTGCTTGCCAAACCTGTACAGTTTAAATATGAGAAGGAATTGAAGGAAAGAGCAGAATGCTGATGCAGAAGGTGCAAGATGCAGCTGAGAGAACTTATTAAGCAAGGCAAAACTATTAGGAAAAAAAAAAAAAAAAAACAAGGCCAACCATGTAGTCACAAAGATGCATATATTAATCAGCTGAGTATTAAGATTGCCTATTCAATCTGTTCATATGCAACTATAGCAGTTGACAATGACAAACATGCACAAATCACAACTACAATTACTCTGCTTCCACAATAAGATACTTGACTTGGTTACTTTGCTTGAATGATTAGTTTGATGAATATAACCAATATGTAGAATACAAAATCTTAAAAGCATAGCCACCTCAACATTCCGCTTTGCTCCTTGTATCCGTTCAGTCCACATATTACGAACAAGGGCTCGTCGCCCCTCAGCAACAGGGTTTCCCGCTGGAAGAGTACAATAATCAATGACCTGTAATACATTGAAAGTAGGCTTTCACTCCCAAAATATAGTCTAAGTATTGCATGATAATAAGGTGTCATGAATAGGATGAAGTAAACAACCTCCTCTAGTTCTGCCAGTTGTTGAACACGGACCATGTTGCTGTAAGCCCGTTCATAGCTCTCAAGAACCTAAGAAATAATCATAAAAAAGAACCCACTAGTCATCTAAATAGCAACAGAAATATTTCTTAAATTCTTAATAGATATGAACTATTTAACGCCAGGCTTCCAGGCAAGATAAACCCAGTAACCACAACACAACACAACAAGACAAGATGCAACAATCAGGATTTTGATAAATACGGAGCTGCAAGATGCATGTCCAATCCTGGAGAACCTTTTAAACTACCAACTGTGCCAGTTAGAAGAAGTGATTTGTTACACATTGAAGGGGCTAGATGAGGTTGGGGTAGACCAAAACGGACATAGGTAGAAGTAGTAAGAAATGACTTAAGCACTAATAACTTAACAGTGGATATGGCTTTAAATAGAACAAACTGGCAAAACAGGATTCACGTAGCTGATCCCATATAGTTGGGATAAGGCATGGATGATGATGATGATGTAAGATAAGCAGAGCAGCACTCAAAACAAGGCCACTGGAGTACCCGAAGAAAAAGAAGAAAAGACTACATTCAAATTAACGGCATAAGAAATTCAGCAAAAGAAGGCTATTTGATAACCATTTAAATGGCTACACTGAATGACCTATTGTTTTGTTTAGCCAATGATTTAAAAGGCGTGCCTCAAGCAGGCCTAGGCACCCTGGCAAGGTGCATTTTAGGGTATGCACCTTGCCTGGGTCCCAGGCGGAGTATTTTCAATAGGTGCGCCATCAACATGTTAAGTTTATGTATTTTAATTTGAGATAATAGGTTTAAAATTTAAGTTTATATTTTTAACTAATAATGTGTTTAATATTTTAATAATTTGAATTTTTGGCATTTGTTTAAATTTTTGGATTTTTTTTTTTATTTTTTAAGTTTTTTTCTTTGCATTTTTGCACCTTGCTTCAAAAAGGTGCACGCCTCGCCTTGCACCTTGTGCCTCGGGCACCAAATGGCCCTTGCGCTTTTTTTTGCACCTTTCGCTTTTAGCGAATAAGTTATTTAGGAGGTTGTGAACTCATTAATGACTGAGGTAGAAATTAGGTTGATTGCTATGCCCTTTAATATTATTTTATTTAATTATTTTGTAAGCTCAAATACAAAGAAATAAGTCATTCAGTGCAGCCTTAACCCCCAAGATTATACTAAATCAGAGAGTTATAAAAGCACTTGTTGCACCAAACAGCCACATGTACTTTTCTAATTTCATTATCTTTCTCATAATAAACTAATGAACTTCAGAAAAGAAACAAAGGAATCCAGACATGCTCAGAAAAGGGAGCCTGTACGAGGACAGAATAAACAATAGAAAAAACGGCATGCTTTCCTGTAAGTAAATATTCCAACTCGAGAATATACCCTTTCTTCAAAGTTCAAGTTCCCCAACATTAGCTGGCCTGTTTTATATGGGTTAGCTTTCTATTTCTTATGAAAATGCCTAATAGTTGGAGAAGAATGTGAAAGCAGTTGACATACCAACTTTTCACTTCCGTTAAACAGAAGAATTAAATTAACTCTAGTATAGATCATATGTAACCTGTTCCTGCAAATCTTCAGTCATACTGCCCATCGCAGAGGTCTCTTCGAGGGAGACCTAACCTCCTACTAAGAGAAGAAGAAGGAAAATGGATTAAGTCAGGTCTGCCCTACACGTTTATCCTCAGATATTTATAAAGTTTACAAGGAGATCACGACATGTGCATGGGACTGTTCATAGCTGACGTGTCTTCCTTGTGTACATAAAGCGAATGTGCGGGCGTTTGGCTTCTTTCATCATGCTGTGCTCCTCATGGGCCTCTATAGGCAATATGGTCTAGTCCCCGGGCTGGTTAGGGGTATGGGCCTGAGGTTTCATATGGACTGGGGTCCCAACAACTCGCCCCTCCTTCAAAACAACCTTGTCCTCAAGGTTGAAGCCTGGAAACATCTTCTTGAGATTGTCACAGTCTTCCCAGGATGCATCCTCCTCAGACAGGTGCTTCCAAACCACTAAGACTTCCTTGTGCACTGCTTTGCCCCATTTTACCCACCTTAGATCTTGAACCACCATAGGCTCAGGCTGCAGGCGTCCCTCCTCACCGAACTCAGGCAATGTGGGGCTAGCATTCAAGTGAGATCCTATGCTCTTCTTTAGTAGGGAAACATGGAAGACTGGGTGGACGTGAGAAGATGGCGGAAGATCCAATCTGTATGCCACCTCTCCTACTCGGCCCACTATCCAAAAGGGCCCAAAAAACCAAGGTGCAAATTTAGGCCACTTCCGATGGGCTACTGACACTTGGCGGTAGGGCTAAAGTTTCAGGAACACAAACTCTCCTTCCTGGTAGGTCACCGGCCTATGCTTCTTGTCATACTGGGCCTTCATCTGCTGCTAGGCCCGGTTCAAATGCTCCTTCAATGACTTCAAAACTTCATCTCTCTGTTGTAGCTTTTCTTCCACTTCCGCCACTGCTGTCGACCCAACTTCATAGGGGAGTATAAGAGGTGGTTCCCTCCCATACAGTGCCTTAAATGGGCTCATTCCCAATGATGAGTGATAGGTGGTATTGCACCACAGCTCGACCCATGAAAGCCAATTCATCCACTGTTTGGGCCTTTCCCCCATGAAGCATCTCAAATAAGTTTCCAAGCACCTGTTAACCACATCAGACTGTCCGTTGGCTTGTGGGTGGTAACTGGTGGTGTGGTTCAACTGAGTCCCCTGGGCTTTAAAATATGTAGTCCAGAAGCGACTCATGAAAGCCGGGTCCCTATCCGTCACAATGGATCATGGGGTTCCATGCAGTCGGGTCACCTCTTTAACAAAGGTGTGTGCTACTTGGGCCACTATATATGGTGCGCCAACCCAATAAAATGGCTGTATTTGGTTAATCTTTCCACTACTACTAAGGGTGGCAAATGGGTGGGTTGGGTTGGGTTGGGTAAGGGTTGAATACCAACCCACCCATCCTAACCCACCAACCCATCATCAATGCTTCTTAAAGGGTCATAACCCACCCTAACCCTGACCCACCCTGACCCCCATATTAACCCACTTGACCCATTCATATGACCCTTGCCCACCCTCACCCATACTAACCCACCTACCATCGCATATAAATACATAAACGGGTCAGGTCGACCCACATACCCTAAAACAATAATTTTTGAGAGAATCAACTCTCCCGAGATTGTCAAGTGTAGACCTGTTCATGGGTCGGGCCAGGCTTTTTCTCTTTATTAACATAAACTTTTCAGGCCCGAGCCCGAGCCTGACCCTCAAAAAAGCCCGAAGTCCGGGTCCGAGCCCGAAGCCCGACTTGGGAGTCTAAGCGCCGGTGCCGTCTGAGAGAATGGTGCCTGTTGAGTTCACTGATTCCTGGGAGTCTGAGAGTGAGAATAGAAACCCAGAAAGTGAGAAAATAGAAGAGGACAACAGTGCCGGCTAGAGAGAGAGAGAGAGAGAGCTCACCGCTCGAGAGAGAGAGACGGTCTAGATCTGGTGGTGCTAGCCGCCGGTGCCTGAGTTCACAGAATGAAAACGGTGCGCCTGGGTTCTGGTGGCACCGGCTGGAGAGAGAACTGAGAAGATAGAAGACCTAGTTCTAAGAACAGAGAGAACTGAGAATGAGAAGAAAGAAGATGAAAACGGTGCCAGCTAGAGAGAGAGAGAGAGAGAGGGAGAGAGAGAGAGAGAGATGACTAGTTCTGGTGGAGTCGGTCATCGGTGACTGAGTTCGCAAGTGCAGTTGGGTTCACCGGTTCTAAGAGTTGAGAGGGAGAAATGAGAGTCGCTTCTCAGAGTGAGAGTGAGAAAGGAGAATGAAAAGAAAAATTTTAAGTATTTAGGGTTAGGGTTAGGTAGTTTAGGAAAAGACGGATCGGGCCGGGTTTTTTAACAAATCCCAAGCCCGCCCGTAAAATAGTCAGGCTCGGGCTTTTAGGCCCGAGGTCAAGCCCGCAGGCTAGAACACATGCTCAAGTCCGTCCGGGGCCGGGCCGGGCTGGGCCGGCCCGTCGGGCCACCCGGCCCATGAACAGGTCTAGTCAAGTGGTATAAACGGGTCAGATCGACCCATGTATCCAAAAATAACATTTTTTATGAAACACCTCTAAATGATGCCACATGGTAGAAACGGGTCGTGTCCGCTCGTAATACCCGAAAAATAACAACTTTTTGAGAGAAACAACTCTCCTGAGATTGCCATGTGGTATAAACAGGTCGGGTTGACCCGTACAGCTGAAATAACAGAAAATTCCAGAAAATGCGGAAATTAATCAGAAAAAATTGCAGAAATCTCACAAAAAATGTAGAAAATTGCAGAAAATGCAGACAATTGGAAAGAAGTAACAGAGAATTGTAGAAAATGCAGGAAAATAGTAGAAAATAGCAGCAATTACAGAAAATATCCGAAAATAACAGAAAAATACCAAAAAATTGTAGAAATTGCAGAAAAATAGCATAAATTGCAGTAAATACCAGTAAATTGCAGAAATGCAGAAAATACAAGAAAATTGCAAAAAAACCAGAAAATACTAGGAAGTTGCAGAAAATTTCAGAAATAACAGAAAATTACAGAAAATACAAGAAAGTAGCAGAAAATTACCAAAAATTTGCAGAAAATGCAGAAAATATCAGAAAATTCCAGGAAATTGCAGAAAATACCAGAAATTTTCAGAAAATAGCAAAAAAGACCAGGAAATTGCAAACAAATGCAGAAAATACCAGAAAATAGCACAAAATTGCAAACAAATTGCAGAAAATACCACGAAATTGCAGAAAATACCAGAAACTTCAGAAAATACCAAAAATAGCAAAAATTTGCAAAAAATGCAAAAAATACCAGAAAATTATAGAAAATGCAGAAAATACCAGAAAATTGCAGACAAAGAGCAGAGAATACCAGAATATTGAAAAAATTATGCAGACAAATAGCAAAAAATGCCGAAACTACCAGAAAAATGCAGAAAATAGTAGAAAATGCAAAAAAAGTAGAAAATTATAAAAAAAGTGTATAACTTTTGCAGAAAAAATGTATAACA